TTGTGGTATTATTGCTCGTTCATCTAGTTTATTTCAAAATACAAAAAAGATCTGTGCTTGTGATGGACTTACATTATGGGATGAAAGGGATAAAACTTTTACAAATAAACATGATTATTCTAAATCAAGTAACAATTGTACAGTATTCTAAAATTTTTCAATAACTATAGGATAATAATAAATATAGTCATATTTATAAATTTTACATGAGCTTTTATACAATATATATTCTATGCATGCATATTTTATGTTTGTCTATTATCCTATAATGAATTATAATTTTCATCTGTTTACAAATAATTTTAAAATAATTTGTATTTTTTTTAAACTTTTGACATTTTGTTTTTTTATTATTTTTGTTTAATATTTTAAATGTTAACACTTAATAAAATCTATTCTTTTTCAGCAAAATTATAAATAACACATAGAAAACCCAGAGAATGGATTTTATAAAATAAATCATTCCAATAAAACGTTTCTCATATAATGGAAAAAACATAAAAGCACAAAATTATATTTTTTATAATATATGAAACTTATATTAAGTTTTAATACTAATATTTTTCCTAAAATATTAATATTAATTTATAAAATAATTATATTTTCAATGTGTATATAAAAATAAAAGATATCATAATATAATTTATGTATTTGTTATAATTAAATATTTTTATTTTAAGATTTTTTTTCATGCAAAATTCACTTATTTTTTTCCCCCAAATTTGTATTATTTATATAAATTATTTTCAATTTTAAAGCATTAATAATATCATAAATCCTTTTATTTGCATTTATCAAGTTCAATGACAAGTTATAAATATAAATTTTAAATACACGTAATTCTTCATTTATTTACATATAATTATAATAATATCTTAGTTTTAAATGAATTTAACAAAAATGATAAATATTATATTTTAAATAAAAATATGATAATAATATGTTCATAAATAATACAATTTTATTTTTTTCTTTTTTCTCAACATAACCTATGTTGCTAATAGAAAAATATCTTACACGTAACATGTAAAAAATACTTTTAATATTTTGTACACGATTTATAATTTTAAATTTAAAGAAAATAAAAATAAAAAAAATACAATGGGAATTCCTGGCTTAACCACTTATATAAACAATCATTCAGATCGTTATTTGGAATATTATGAATTACAAAATTCATATTTAGTAATTGATGGAAATAGTGTCTGTTGTTCAATATATAATTTATATGCAAAGTGTAATTGTGCATTTGGTGGTGATTACGATAATTATGCACAATGTATATCAAATTTCTTTGACGATTTATTAAAATGTAATGTGACACCTTTAGTTTTAATTGATGGCGGCAATGAAGACAAAAAATTTAAAACTACTATAAGAAGGACTAAAGAGAAAATTCGTATTGCATGCTCGTTTTGTCCACTTAGTCAAAAGAAAATGAAATTTTTTCCTTTATTAATACGAGAAGTTTTTAAAGAAATAATGACAGAAAAAAATATTCGACATGTACAATGTTTATTTGAAGCTGATAATCATATAGCAGCAGTAGCAAGAATCTTGAATTGTCCAGTACTTAGTTATGATTCAGATTTTTATATATATGGGACATTATACATACCATTTGATACATTAGATACTTATGTAGTTAAAAGTTCAACTGGAAATTGTTATGTGAAACGCTGCAAGATTTATAAAGTAGAAAATTTACTTAAATCTTTTAAAGGATTGGATCAATCAATGTTACCATTGGCTGCAATATTATTAGGCAATGATTATGTAAAACGAAATACTTTTAAAAACTTTTTTCGTCACTTGAAATTAAGAGGTGCATCAAGAAAAAAACATAATCATAGACAGTGTCGCATAGAAACAATTTTAGCTTGGTTAAGCAAATATACTTTGAACAAAGCTATCATTGAAATTTTAAGTAGATTAACTAAAACTATACGACAAAGAATATTAAATTTAATAGAGATTAACATAAATGGTTATACAAATGTATCTGCTGAAATACTTGTACCTCTAGGTTTTCCGAAAGATTATATTATTCATACTAATATTCATTATTTGAACAAAACTTTTAAATTTGATGGAGATGTTAATACATTAACATACATAGAAGAAATTTGTGAAGAAGAAGATAATGAAACAAGTGAAGAAGAAAATGAAGAAGAAAATGAAGAAGAAAATGAAATTGAAATAATAAATACACTTAGTGAATCTGAATTAAAAAAAAAAGCTATTAGTAATTTGCCAGAATGGTTTATAAATGAATTTCTTATGGCTAGACTTCCAACATATTTTATAGATTTAATAATTAGACATTTATATATTTGTTCTGTACAAATAGAAGATTATCGTTATCCTCCCAGTATTTTAGCAAGTTCAAAAATTCTTAGTGTAATATTTGGAATTCTAAAATCAGGAATGAACAATAAAATATGTTATATGAGATATATGACAAGAAATCAAAATAAAATTATGAACTATAACTTGCAGAGCACAAAGATCACATGTCATAAATTATATGGCACAGAAACTTTAGATGTTTATAAACTTCCTTCTTTATTCAATCTTAGAGAAATTTCTTTAGTTATTCAAAAAGAGATTTTAGATAATACTCTAGGAATCACAAATATGGATTGTATATATGAACTTCCATCAGAATGGATGTTATATGTTGGATGTATAAAATATTGGATGCAACAACAAGATCATTCTATATCTTATAAATGTTACTTATATTCTATATTTATTTCTATGTTGTTTAATATAATAGATTCTAAAATTGGAAGACATAGAGTTATGTACACTTTTCAAAATAAATATAGTCAAATAATTGCAAATATAAAACAAAAAAGAAAAGAAAATAATTTTAAGCCAAACAATATAATGAATGATTCAATTATTAAAGCTTATAATGAAATTGACTATGATGATTGTATATTAGCAGCATCATTTTTTATTACTCATTTTAATATGGACAAAAAATTATATACAAATCCAAAAAAGTATAATAGAGCTACAGTACACATATTTGCAGAATTTCAGAATTGTTTAAAACATACTATGAATTTAAATGCACTTTTGGGATATCCTTATCCACAAATTAAAGTAGCAAATTTATTTAATGGTACTTTATTATATAATTTGAGTAATAATTTTAGAATACGCAATGACATTGAAGGATATATAAATGCTGTTCTTCAAATATCTCCAAGTCTTTTGAGATTATTTAATATGTTTTTATTAAAAATTAAACCAATGTTTCCATCTATGCTTCAGAATAAAATCAATTTGGTTAAAAAACAAAGAATAAAATCAAAACATTCAAAATCTGATAAAAACATTTCAGCTGAAAGTGATTCTGAATATTTTACAGCTGATGATGATTTATATGAATCATGTTATGATCCAAATAATCGTTTTTCTATGCTTAATCATTCATTATGATATCCATTTAATATTCCGATTGCGGAATCTTATTGTGTATTTAGAAGTCAAGTATTTAGAAAGAGATTCTTAAGCATTTCTATTTTCTTTTTTTTTGTTCTATAATCTTTAAATAAGTTTGATATTAAATTAAACATTATTGAATGAAAATGTGAAATTACAGTAATTAATCAGCAACCAAATGGTTATCTTACTTATATTTATTATGACTCACCTTATAAAATTAGATCTAATCAGATATATTATCGCGTTCGAATAATAGTTATAATAGTTATAAGTAATTTTTTTTTCGATATATTTCTTATGAATTGCATATTTTTATATATTGTATAATTAGAAATATAAAATATTTCAGCATCATGGTTGTAAAATTACAAATGTCACGATGAATTGTTTATTTGTAACTACTATAATGAAAATTTAATACTTCAAGAAAACAAAAGTACAGTCAAAAAAAAAACTATTACATTTTTAAAAAATCTTATAACATTGTTGAATCATTGGCGATATTATAATAAAATATTTATTTTTTAAATATAAATTAAAATTATTAATAAAGAAATTTATTTATAATATTTCATTTGAAATATTTTTTATTTATTATGATTGTCATTATCTTTGAAATATTTCATATTTTTGGTTCGTTTTTTAAATGTAGAATTTCTATTTTGATTTTTGGTTTGTGAAATATGGAATTTAGACCACTGAAAATGTTAAATATTTTTAAAAATTAAGACATTATTATAAAACATAAATTATAATCATAAGTAAAAGTTACAAAATGTAGTAATATTTATGATTACGTTTTTATATATTTCCCAAAATGCAGTAAATGCTGTTTTGAGTGTATTTGCTTCTTGTCTTAAAGTAGGTAAGTAATACGAATCTTCTCCATGTTTTAGTATTAATCCAACACGTACAGCACAATTTAATTTTTTTCTTAATTCTTCATTAAACGTTTTTATATTACTTTTAACTGGATAGGAATGACGTAAATATTCACTAATAAGATTTGATGGAACATAAATTTTAAGTAGTTGAAGTCTTTTTACAGCTTCAATTATCATCTGCGGTGTTATTGAAATATGACTACCTAGTCAATTATTTCACATAAAATAATGTTTAGCATAGACATAATTTAAAAATATGTTTCATAGAAAAGATATGAAGAATATATATATATATATATATATATAATATATTGTTTATAATTTATATATTTTGTATATATAAATATATAATATCATATATAACTTTATATCTTACATAATTTATCGTTATTAAAATTCATTTTATATTTCCGGGTGAAATCCTTTTTTTTAATTATTTATTTTATTTGAACATATTATTTAATGGATTTTAAATGATTATTATTTGATTCTAAAATTTAAAAATAGTAAAAATCGATTTTATTAGTTACATTTTCTTAAAACAGGTTATAATAAAAAACAAACGTTTCAATGCAATGCTTTTATAATTTGAAATCATGAATATTAAATAAATTATTTTATAAATGCAAATTTCATATGTTTTATTTTTAAGTATATTCTTTATTTATTATTATATTATATATTACCTACACAATTCCAGTGATTCCATTAATATGAACAATTAAATCAAAATAATGCAATTATTTAAAAAGACATATATATGCATACATATATTAAAACCTGAAGTGGAATATATATTTTTTAATAATTATTTGTATGTGATACCTTATATATATATATATATATATATATATATATA